GCTTTAGTGTTGAATGATTTAGTTATTTACACAGAGAAGCAATCACAAAACCTGATGAATCGATCGAATATATAAAAATTGAATTTTTTTTTTTTTTAATATGGAGTTATACATTGGATTATACATTGAAAAAATCATATTGGTTTATTATAGATAAATAGTTTTATTAATATGGATTGTGACGGGCGTTCGAACTCTTGAGAATGAAAAAAAATCATGTTGGGAGAATTGTCTTCACAAATACAAGATTATGCAATGTGTAAATTCAGATTCAGTCAAACTTTAATGTAAATATATATAGGACATAGAGAGGAAAACCAAAACAACAACATTTTTCTTGAAAACAATGGTGGAAAAAAAGGAGCAAAATGGTGGAGTGAAGAAACCATTTCTTTCTCTTTTTATATTCTTCTAATTTCTTTCTGAAAAAAAAGTATATTTTTCCCACTTAACGTGTGTATAATCTCTTTAATAAGTTCAGATCAATGAAAGTCTTTGTGAGACCACCAAAAATATTATCTCTAATGAAAGATACTCCTTCCGTTTCAAATTGAATGACTTGATTTGACTTTGTACATAATTTAAGATATTAAAGAAGATATTTAAATCTAGTGATGTAAAGTTAAAGATCTATCAAATGTACCAGTGCTTTAATCTCGTGGTTTCAAGCATGTCAAGTGGAAAATTGAATTGAAACTAAAAAGTTACAAAAAATAAAATAAAAAAGGTCATTCTTTTTACAACGTACTAAAAAAAAATAGATCAAACAAATTAAAATGAAGAAAATACTACCACATAGTTTTGATGGAAAAGTGTCAATGGTCAGATTGTGACATTATTGTCTCCACCATTTTTTGTTTTTATATTTTAAGTTATATGCTTTGACAATGCAATTTTTTATATGATCGATATAAATTAGAAATATGTTCATTGTTCATCGAAAGGAGCAGTTAAACACCCTTTACAATTGAATGTTCCTTTCATATAATATAATGGACAAGTAAGAGTGTACGAAGAAGGTATCTACATTCACATTCACATTTTCAATTTACCACACATGAGATTTCACATTTAGTGTGTTTATACATAGAGAAACACACACCACGAGAATAATGTCAAGAATTTGAAAATATTAAATATGTGTCCCACAAATTTGTGCTCAAATTTTAATATCTTTGAGAAATTATAAGTCAAGGTTTCTCAGTCATTTTTACTTGACTATTTTTACTTGTTTTCCCATTCTTCTTGTGGTGTTATTTTAATAATTTAATGTAGTACAGTACTTGTTTTTTGAATTCTTTGTGCCCAAGACCTAGGGCATTGTTATGGGTGGGGGGGGGGGGGGGGAAGGATACAAC